AGATTATAATAAGTGTATAAATGGATGTCGCCTTGCTCTTAGACGTATTTGTCTCGTTTGCAGCTTAGGCAGTGTCCCAGTGCTATGTCTCGTAGATGCTGTTCAGTGTACTGAAATGATCAAAAAAATTTGTAGGTTTCTAGCACTGTTCATCATAATTTTATTCAATTATGATTATTATGTCCGAAGTGAGCCAACCTTCTACTGGAGTACGACTGTCTCAGCCTCAAGTTGTTGCATATATGGATGCACACTGTGCTGGTGAAGGAACGCTTTGCGTCAGCGAAAGGTGAGTACTGGTTCCGTTAAGGAACTCGTTGTATCTCCTAGCAAGCCTTTTTCAAAATAAAATTCCTTCCATTGCTGCACAGAATTCCTTGGTATAGTTTTAATTAATTAATTCAGCCAAGTAACGTGGATTTGTCGCTCTAGCGGCTTGGGTTTCTCTCTGACATATCCGTCCATCATACTTCATGCAATTTCCACCGATCTCAGCACATTTCCTCAAGAGTGCATTTATGTGCTTGTGGATGCATCTAAAAGCGGTATGTAACTTTTAAGAAATAAATCACAGGACCCTGAGATTTTGGTTAGCTCAGATAGCTCAGAGCACGTTGCGATTTTACAGGGCATCGAAGTTGCAACTCAAAATCTAGATTGTTTGAATTTGGAAAGGGAAGGGTTTATCCCTTTCAAAATGTGCATTTCAAATTATCTTACGAACATAGAATCTTAAGCTGAATGTGGCTTATAGAGAAGAATATAATCGCGTGGGTAATGACGATATTGCACTTGCATAAAACACATTTTACGCCCAATTAGATCATCAACAACGATTTCCCTTTGTGGTCCCCAAATTCGCCAAAATTTTCTCTAGTAAAAGCTCCTCTATCTCAGGAATTTGAATGTTTTAATAGAAAGCTTTCATATTTCTTTTAAGAATTGCCTTCTCCTTTTTGGATTTTGTTTGATTTGTATTTGTTCGAGGAACTGAACTCAGAAATACACACAAGCATGAAGATATCGAGCTCATCGCATTTGCTTTTCATTTGCTGTACAGTGGGGACTCAAAAAAGTTTGTAGTGTTGCTTTCTTTTGCGACTGTACATAGCG